CTACTGCTTACTCACATGTACACTAGGTAGGTTAATAATAATTATTCATTGTAAAAGAGCATTTTCGTTAATTTTTTTATTTATATGTCAGCAAAAACAAAAAAAAACCACCACAAGAATTCTCAATAGATTATATGTCCAATTTTGCCTCCCTTAATTATGTCACCACCTTACCGAGCACTACTAAATGTGACTTTTTTATGTGATTTTTTTATTTATGGAGATTTGAATTTTAATTCACCTTCCTTATGTTAGATCTAATCCTTATTAGTTATGGTGGATTTAATCATAAAAATAGATTCCCGATGCAAATGAATAACTGATTTAGATTGATTTCATGAACCAAACCGGCTTTTTTTTTTTGGCCAGCAGAACCAAACCGGTTATTAAACCTGTTTTGCAGATCTGGAGATTAGCGCGGCATGCTTTCTCACCCGATTTTTTAAAACAGGTGCTGATCGGGAAAGGGCATGGAGATGAGAAGTTTCGTGGACCCCTCCACGATGTAGATCATGGACCACGTGTTGCGCACTTCTTTTGCTTTATATCTGGTCCTCTAGTTGAAATATGTTGCGATATCATCAATAATATTTAAAGTAGCAATGTTAACTCACCAGATAACACCTAATTAGATCTTGTGTTGATAACAGAACTAAAAAAACGAATAGTGATGATGAGAAAATAGGAGGGTAAAGAGTTGCATTTTAAAGACTTGTTTTTTTCTTCATTCCTTCTGTTGTCAACACATCATGATTCTGCTAAGTGCCATCCGGTGAGTTTACATCATTACTTTAACTTTGGTTATGACACTTCAATATAGACTGTAACATTGTCAGATTTTTAGAGACTTATATTTTAAGATGGACTAAATTTTATAAACTAAAACAACAAATTTAAAATTTGAGAGATTAATATTAAGATAAGTTAAAATTCTGAAATCAAAAATTATATTAACTCATAAAAAAACTAAATAAATGTTGAAGAATCTTCTCTTCTCACAGCTGCCGGATTTTAAAAAGGGCTGCACGTTTGAGATGCACACGTGTCGACTCTCAGCGCACCGAGCTCCTGAAAAGCTGAATCTGAGTCACATAAAACGACAAAAGCCAGAACTGAAGCACCGAACGAACGAAAAAAAAGAAGGAAGGAAGCGAAGAAAAACAGGACTTGGATTCTCTCCACTTCTTCTCCCATCCTCTTCCTCTCCACTATCCTCTTTTTCTCTCTACAACCATTGGATCAAAATTCCAATGATTCAGATTTGACATCTTATAAAAATAATATTATTAAAAAAATAAATAAATAAATTTAAACTGTTAAAATCTTGTCTAAACAGTTAATAACTGTAATAAAAAAAAGTTAAAAAAATTTGCTCTGTAATAATAATATGTAGATATGAGCTGTTCAAATTAGATTTTAATAGTTTAAATTTATTTATCTATTTTTATAATTATATTTATTTTTATAAAATGTTGTAAAATATTAAATCTGGACTATTGAAATTTTAATCCAATGGTTGTAAAGGGTCAAAAAAAAAGTAGTGGAGGGGAAGTGGATAGGAGAAGAAGTGGAGAGAATCCAAATCCGGCCATGATGAGCCCTTGCCACAGCTAAAACCTACCCCTATCCTCCACTCTTTATCATGATACACACTATCAGACTTTCTGGAGTATACATGTACATAGAGTAACTACTGTATCGCAGGTCGTCTTGTTCCATGCCTATGTTCGATCTCCCGTAGAGTATCAATCATAATGTCGGCCTAACTATTCAAATCGGCGTGCGCTGAAGGAAATTTATTAGGGGAAAAGACAGTAAAATACCCTTAAAATTACTAAATGACAAATTAGGATAAGTAAATTTTAAAATCCCAATTCAAACTCCGGGTATTATTTTGGAATTTTCAAATGTTGTAAAATTACACAAATACCCTTTAATTTTTTTATTTTTTTAAAATACTGCCACATTAGCAATTCCGGCCGTCAGAGCTCCGACGCCGGCGACCAACCACCGGAGCTCCGACGACCGATTACCGGAGTTCCAGTGACCGGTTGTCGGAGTTTCGATGACTACTCTTTTTTATATATTGACTACTCTTTTTTAGCTATTGACTACATTTATTTTTGAACTTTGATGACACGTTATCAGAACTCCGGTGACTGGTTAGTGGTACTCTAGTAACTACTCTTTCTTAGTATTGACTACTCTTTTTTAGCTATTGACTACATTTATTTTTAAATCCTGATGATTACTTTTGCTTATGTATTAACTACTTTTTTTTAGCTATTGACTACATTTATTTTTAAATTCTAATGACTACTCTTGCTAAGCTATTGACTACTCCAGTAATGCAATTTACTGCTTTTGTGTAGTCAATAGCTATATAAAAATATTCATTGGAACTTTGAAAACAAAAGTTGTCAATAGTTAAAACAGAGTAGTCAATAACTATATGGAATTAGTCACTGACAGTAAGGACAATGTTGTCATTTTACAAGATTTGAAAATTCCAAAATGGTACCTGGAGTCTGAATTGAGATTTTGAAATTTACCTACCCTAATTTGTCATTTAGTAATTTTGAGGGTATTTTATTGTCTTTTTCCCAATTTATTACTTTGTCCTTTTCTTTTTTAATAGGGAAAATTTCATTTAAAAACCGCAGTACAAAATTAATTTCAAAAAACTCTCAAAATTTTTTGAAACTTCGCTGCAAGACCAAGAGGCAGACTGATATTAATTCCACAAAAAATGATGCTATTGTCCCTCATGGGAACAAGTGTGGGAGAGCCAATTGTAAGTGAGGCTATACAATTTGCAACATATATACATATATTTACAACTGGAATTAGTCAATTTACATGTCACCTTCTTTACCTGAAAAAGGTGTCTGTGAGTGAATAAGTGTGGAAGAGCTTATTTGTAAGTGGGACTAGACAATTAATAACATATATACATTTATTTACAACTGAAATTAGTCCATTTACATGTCACCTCCTTCACTTGAAGAAGGCGTCAGTGAACAAACAAGTGTGTGAGAGCCCGTTTGCAAGTGGGACTAGACAATTTGTAACATACTTACCTTTATTTATAACTGGAATTAGTCTATTTACATGTCAATCCACAATAAGTATTATAAGGGGCAATAGCGCTATTTTTTTTTTGTGGAATTAATATCAATTTGCCCTCTTAGTCCTGTAGTGAAATTTCAAAAAGTTTTAGGGGCTCTTTATAATTAATTATGTACTGTGGTATTTAAACAAAATTTTTCCTTTTTAATATAATAGTCCACAGTTCACTCAAATAAGATTTTAGGAATTTAAATTTATGTATCTATTTTTATCTAAACTTTTAATAATATTTTTATATAAAATATTAAATCTAGATTACTGGAATTTTGATCCAATGACTGTGAAGGGAAAAAACAAAATAGTGGAGGGGAAAAGGATGTCAACAACAGTAGAGAAAATCCAAGTTAAAAATGATTAAGACGTTAGGTGTACCTAAAAAATGATACCGGAGTTAAAATTATATCTTTGTTCTTTTCTCTCCTAACTATTTTTTCTGGTTTATCCAAACAAAAAGGGTGGTAATATTTTCTTCCCAAGTTTTTTTTCTTCGAGGCTTTTATTCTCATCCAAATGGAATAGTAATATGAACAAACAACATTCATGTCTTTTTTTTTTTTTTAAATACCATTTAAATGAGTAGTGAATTGATAATGCTAATTTGATTTTATATTAAGGTCATGCTATTACTAGTAGATGATAAGTGACCAAAAACAATAACATTTGATTTCAATGTGTTATAATAAATTAATACACTGTTTGCAAAAAAAATTAATATATTAATATGATGATTTAATAAATATCTGTATCACTCACAGACACACACAACTTGGCAATTCATCTATTCGGCGCGTCATTGGAATTGGAATATTTTTATGCAAATGATTATAATAATGGGAATGGGAATATATATATGTTTTGGTATAATGGGAATATTAAATATTATTGAGAGTGACTAATTGTCGCTTAAAGAACGATCCGCTCTTGTCACCAAAAAAAAGAAAAAAAGAGAAGCAAAGTTCTATTCGATGATGAGTTTGAAGCAAGTAGGATCTGTATAAATGCTGTTTGGATTATCAGATGGGAGATGGAGGAGCTTTGAAGAGTTGGAGGATTGTAGGGCGAAAGCCTCCAGATCTTGGGGGGTCAAGCTGAATATTGATGGTGCTGCTAAGTGTCAACCTGGATATGCAGAGTGCAGACTGTGGTGGGTTACTCAGAAACGAGAAGGGAGAATGGATAGGAGGATTTGTGAATAATTTGGGCAAATTTATAGCAATTGAGGCAGAATTTTGATGCGCTTGGTTAGGTTTTTTATTGTTGGCAGAGAAGAACTATAGGAAGGTTGCAGTAGAATCTGACTCTCTTAATCTGGTCACGATGCTCAACGATCTGTCTGTACAGAACAAGGTCAGTAATAGATTTTTGAGTCATATACAGAGATTAATTGATAACATTTGGGATGTACAAGTTATGCATCCGTATTGAGAGCGAAATCCCAGTGCAGATTGGCTTGCTAATTGAAGCTTGTCACGTGTAGCTGGCTTACAGTGGCTGAGTGAGCCTCCGGGAGGATTATTGATGTTACTGTATAGAGATTTTATGAACTCTACTTGCTCAAGATTTGTTTCGTTGGATAGTTCTTGATTTGGGCCTTTTTCGCCCCTTTTTTTACGGGAAAAAAAGAACGATCCGCTCCTTTTCATTTGGATCCCAGATTCAAGTGAGGCCCAACCCAAAGAAGGCCCATCAGTGATGTGGATAAGGTGTTTCTGTGGGACCCATGTTGTGGCCCCATGAAATCAAATCCTGTGGCCAACAGAAAGCCAACGCAACACACGTCAGATTTTTAGTGACACGAAGCAGAGCGATGCCAAAGCAGAATCTTACGTGGAACAAAGCCAATGGAAAATGGAAATCACGAGTGATATTTCGCAAAAGCGAGATCAGCGCCTTCGCAGTCCCCGCCATACATTTTCTCTTTGCCTTATCTCCTTCCCTCCAAACTGAACAGCCCTGTAATTCCCAACTGCTCGTGACGTAGTTTCCACGATCACCACCATCACTCCACTTTCTAGTCATGGCTAGCAAGTTAGCCTTCACATTGACGTGCCCACGTCCATCTACCCCTCATAGGCCACCGTTACTGCCTCCGATTTCTCCTCTCTCCTCTCCGTCTGCTACTAGAGATCGGTTGATTCAGTTTAATGGCCGGCAATTATACCTCCGCCGTCGGTTGTTCCTACTTCCTCCTAAGGCCACCGCCGATCAACAAGGTCCATTTGGCTCTTCAAATCCTTTTCCTTCTCAATGTCTCTGGGTTGGCTGTCTTCTAACACAGACTTTTTTTTTGGGGGGGTTCTTACGGCTTTCAGGCCAGGTTGAAGAAGGTGAAGCTGTTGATAGTAAAATCCTCCCGTATTGCAGCATTGACAAGAAAGAGAAGAAGTCGGTCGGTGAACTTGAGCAAGAATTTCTTCAAGCACTGCAAGTATGTCCCCATTATTTCTAAAAAAGAAACTTTTATTTGCATTGCTGTCTTATTTAATGAGTCTTCATAAACGAACAGAAACGACAACTTCTTAGTGACAAAACCACTGAAGCCCATGTTTTGTTCTACTTCAACAGGCATTTTATTACGAGGGAAAGGCTATTATGTCAAATGAGGAATTTGATAATCTCAAGGAAGAACTTATGTGGGAAGGAAGCAGTGTTGTCATGCTAAGTATGGACCATCCTTGCTGAAAATAGCTGCGGCTGAAATGAGTTACTTCATGTTAATTTTTTAACCTTTTTTTTAATTAACTTCTGTTGCTTCTCTGCGCAGGTTCTGATGAACAAAAATTCCTCGAAGCCTCTATGGCTTATGTTTCTGGAAAACCAATCATGAGTGATGAAGAGTATGATAAATTGAAAATGAAACTAAAGGTTCGTTGTGCTCATCATCATGAATAAAAACCCTTAGTATATTGATGGGGACATTTGTAGAATGGCATTAAATGATCAATTAAGAGTATTGAAGAGTTTAATAAATGAAAATGAAAATAAAGACCCGCTATGCTTATTATGAATAGAAACCTTACTACATTGAGCCGTAGTCAAAGTCAATACTTCTAAATTGTGCCGCGGAGCTGTCTGCCCTTCTGCAACATCAACATCAATGCTGCCGGTTATTATGGAATTTAGAATTTCTTAATAAAAAGGCAGTTGTTACTTCAGTTTATAAGGCGTTTCACTTATGGTAGTTGCACCGATCATACAAATCTGGGGATGCACGTAGCTGGAATTGCTTCATAAAGATTCGTACGTTCTCCTCTCTTCCCGTATTATTTACTGATATCATGTTACTTCTCAGATGGAAGGGAGTGAAATTGTGGTTGAGGGTCCACGATGCAGTCTTCGTACTAAAAAGGTGAGTGCTAATCTGCAAATTCTTCCTTTGAGTTCTGATTGTTAATAGAAGCAAATCATCTTCCTGTCTGCTTGTTGATTAAATCAATCTTGAAGTACTATATGATTTGTGAAATCGAACTTATGATTTTAAAATCAGCTATGTTGCAAGTACCGGCAAGTATATAGCCTAAATTTATACTTATTTCTTTTACTAGAATTATGCTATAGGCTTATGTGAAATGGTAAGAAAATATTTAATTTGGCTCTACTCTGCTTATTATTCTTTATTATTTACCACGTGATAATATTTTTCTTAATAGGTTTACAGTGACCTGTCTGTCGACTATTTGAAGATGTTCCTCCTGAACGTACCAGCAACTGTGGTTGCATTAGGACTGTAAGTAACCTTTTTCTTCCCCTTCGGGAGCACGCATTTTGTCAAACTTCTGCTTCCTGGTTTAGCCACTGCTATTGATTGATCTGTTTGACAAACTTGACCTGTGATCTTTTAAATAAATTTGTAATTCCAAATTCACAATGCACCATCCATTATAAGGGAACTGGAAGGGAAGTGTTGCGTATTGCCCAAGGCCCACGTAACAAGTCAACCGTTTGCTAATTGCCTGATTGTTTGCACATTAAGCTACTGGCAGTCATGTTCTGCCCATACCCATTTGTTATGCTGTTGATTATTTGCACATGCACCATTTAATTTTCTGATATGTTTGACCATATTTTTTTATGAACATTTGAAATGCAACCTAGTTATCTGATATATATAACAAGATTAGAACTAGATATTGTTTATTAAACTGGTATCCATTTCCTTTATTTATATACATCTTAAAAGCTTTTATCATGTTGAGGGGCAAAACAAAGTAGTATTCCTTTGACTTCTTGTCTGTCGAACTGATGTGAATGTTACTGATTATGCAAGTCTGGTCATGACTTTTGGCCTTTTCTTTTTTATTTTTTTTCATCATGTAATCTGTTAGGTTCTTCTTCCTTGATGATCTGACCGGATTTGAGATCACATATCTGCTAGAGGTATGTTGTCATTTTTCTTGTTTTAGTGTTGGAAACTATTCATGAAGACGTAATTTGATTCCATGGTGCATTGTCTGATGGTAGTTGCATTTCCTTTAATCCTTTCTACGACCTTCATTATTAGAGAATCTGATTAGCTGTAGATATTATTATTATATTTCCTATATTTGTGGTAAAATTTTGATTCCATGATGCATTATCTGATGGTTGGTAGTTGCGTTTTTTATTTAATCCTTTCTATCACCTTCTTCATATCAAGAATCTGATGAGCTGTAGATATTATTATGTTTCCTATGTTTTGTAGAAAAAGAATGGATAAATTACTTCTGAATTGCATTAAGTGAATTCTTGTATGCTGGCTGGAAATGGAAATGGAAATTGTTGTAGTTCATGGTCATCATGTATATCTCATTTCAATTTTTAAATACTTTGTCTTGCCTGACCCAAACATTGAAGGCGCCTGTAGTAAACAATTTTTTTAAACTTTTTAATCCCATCTGAAGGGTCAGGAAAGAAAAAAAGAAAAGAAAAAGAAAACTGGGCCTAAAAGATTCATTCTTCACATCTCGTAAATTCAAACAGCATTTCAGAACCTTGAAAATAATATTGCATTTTTTTGACTGAATATTGCATTTAATTCCATTATAACCCATAATGTGACCTGTTGGTGTAGCTTCCAGAGCCTTTTAGTTTCATTTTCACTTGGTTTGCTGCCGTTCCACTCATTGTGTGGCTGGCTCTATCCCTTACAAATGCGATTGTGAAGGACTTTTTGATTTTAAAGGTATGAACTCTGGTAACTGTGTCTCTTTTATTTATCACTTACCAGTACCTATACTTACAAGCGGTTGTTAAACAGGGACCCTGTCCAAACTGTGGGACCGAAAACACTTCGTTCTTTGGCACTATATTATCAATTTCGAGTGGTGGTTCCACCAACAATGTCAAATGCTCAAAGTAAGTATGAAACTGCTGAATTGGCTAAACATTGTCACTCCATATGATGTCATATGATTAACGATAGAGCTCAAGTTTAATAAATAAAAATGATCTGTTGGTTCAGCTGTGGCACTGAATTGGTATATGATTCAAGTACGAGATTGATTACATTACCAGAAGGAAGTAAAGCTTAATTGAAGGTATGTGTGTGTGTGTTTGTGTGTTCCTACTCTATTTTAAAAATCTCTGCTAAAATTACTGCTGGTGTGGGGAAGAGTGCCTCACCTGGGTCTGTTGATTGTTGTGCAGCAAGTGGGAGCAGTTCATTAGTAAAAGGCAGAAGTAATTTCCATGGAAAAGTACCTATCAAGACATCCATGAAGTCACACACCATAGATGGCATGTCCATATTGTTATTTCGTGCTACTATCATACTTGTAACTTCTAAAGAAACGGGCTTTGTATAGTATATATGTTAGAAGAGATTGAAAATTTTCCTCGCTTCCTTCTCACTTATATCAGAAGATGGGATTATTAATTGAAACGAGCAACAGATCAAATTAGTCGCGTTAATTAAGGAAAAAAAATGAAAGAAGAAAAAGCAGATCAATCTTCAATAACGTTGAGCCGATCAAAGAAACGAATCTCTGAAAGTTTGAGTTAACAAGCGAGCGCAACTGCATGTTTGCAAGCCTAGTAAACCGGGCTAGAATCAATCAAGGAACACAAAATCGGATCGGTCTATAAACCAGTTGAATTAGTGGGTCAAGAGTCACTGATTGAAGTCGGGGTTAACCCGTAATCAAACCGGTCATCATTAAAATAATATACTTTTTTTATATAGTAAATATATTATATAACAATAAGAATAAAAATACATTTTATGCCTAAAGAATCATCTAAAAGTTGACAGAATTTAAATTTTTCAAATTATCATAAGAATAAAAATGAATTTTTTTTAAATATAAAACTTGAAATATTAGCATCATACGTATTTTATATAGATTTTTTCTCATAAACTTAATTGGAGTTAGAACTATACCAGCATATATGTAGCCTATGTCATGATCATCTATACCTGCTAGTCTGCAGCAAGTTTAAATGGGAAATAGGGAATATGGGCTTTAACCATTGTTTTTGTCTATTATCCAGCAATTTTTTTTGGATGTCCTTGTTTTTTTCTTTTCTCAATGTGCAACACTAAGCAACCTGCCGATATGATATCCCCGTATCACCTCAATCCAATACTTTCTTCCTTCATAGTTCACACACTCTTCTACTTCTTTTTTTTACTCTATTTGTCCTTCTCTCTCGTCTTTGCTAGTCTAGATATAGAAGAAAAAATAGAGCCTGGGGAGCAAGAGCTCGGGCATGGACTTACTATAAAAGAACAAAAGGGATGGAATGAGGAGTGACTAAAGCTTAGAGCAGTCACCACGCAGACAAGAAAAGAAGACGAGTTAGAGTGACAACTCTCAAGCAAGACGACGGCGACGGAGTTTTCCTGTTTAGGGATTTGGAGAACACAATCACGAAGAGCAAAACAAAGCTGTGTGAAGCAAGCACAAACGAAACCAGGTTCATGTAAAGTCAAAACTCTTCTTCTCCTTTATTATTATTATTTTTTGGAAAGAAAGAGAAAAACTGTCCGCCATAAAAAAGCATGATCCGGCTAACCCAACAAACTAGCGGGTACTCCTGTTATATCCAGTTTAGAGTGGTCTGTAACGGTTTAGTCGGGTTAGATTTTTTCCAGTTTAGGATATGAACTAGACCGGCAAATGGCGGTTTGTCAGTTTTTGGTCTGAACCAGCTGGTCCAGTCCGGTTTTTTT